CCCCCCCCCCCCCCCCCCGGCGGGCAGGGGGCCAGCCACAGGCAGCCCCACACCCCAGCACAGCTCCCTGCTGTTAGGAGAAGATGTGCCAGTGGCTGAAAAATGATACAAAAAAAGGTGCGAAACACACCACAGGCACTTCTACCCTCACCCTGCTCCTGCCCTGGGATCAAAGTTAAGATGCACTTCACATCCCAAATTGAAGGGGTCGGGGCTTAACCCCTCCTGCAGGCCCACCAGCCCCCATCCGAGGGCTGGGGTCCGGCCACGCCAGGGCCCATGGGGAGGAACAGCAAGGGGCTGCGCACACCCCCAGCCATGGAGGGGATGTCCCCATGAGACAGCAGGCACTGAAGACAGCAGAGAGGAGCCGCAGCCTCTCCCCCAGCCATGCAGACCCTAACATGGGGGGGACTCAGCTTGGAGATGAGTGGCACTAGAGGCTGCCCAGCTGGGCAAGGAGATGGGCGGATCCTTCCCACCACTCCTGCGGTGCCTTCCTTGGCTGCAAGCCAGAGAGGTGGGGAGGGGGTGCCAGGGCAGCATCCCCACCAGCAGCTGCACATCTTCCAGAACATGTCTTCAAGAAGCAGGGGCAAAGCCCATGATACCCTCTGGTGATCTCTGGCATGAGGACAGTCCTCCACAGCAGCAGTCTTGGTGCCAGGACATGGCACAGAGATGTAATACCAGCACTGCATGGTGAAGGCAGCACCCACAGGCACCCTGGTTTGGCTTCATTCAGGCTCACCCCAAGAAAGACACAGAGCAGTCAAGCACCCCCAGCTCTGCCAAGCCCAGGGCAGCACTCTGGGGTCTTCTCAGCGCTGACGGCTTCTTGAGGATCCCCTCTCCTGGGAGGGGGGGCAGGGAAGCCCTCCCTTTCCTTCCATAGCTCCAGGCCCCTTAAGGGGGGAAACAATATTCCAGCTAAGTCTTTAGGGTACCAGCTCCCCCCGGCCTTTCTCCCAAACCTGAGGCAGGAGGAGGAGGAGGGAGCAGAGGCTGGTCAGGTCATGTAGCGGGTGACAGCTCTCAGGGCATACAGCAGAGCCGCTTGCATCCGAGCCTCCAGCAAGAGCAGGTTGATGTGCACCTATACAGGGAGAGGGGGGTCAGCACATGGGGGCTCAGGACTCCCCCATGGCCTGCCAGGAGGGGAAGGGATAGGGCAGCACCTTCTCCGAGTGCTTGAAGTGTCTCCAGAACTGTGTATACATCTGCTTAGTCGTCTTCTCCGGGTAGCAAGCCACCGTCTTGATGTAGATCTTCAAACTGCGCTCCAGGAGCTGGTTCACCTCCCCATAGTTGTAGTCGTCGTAGCTGGGGGAGAGAGGAGGGCACGTTACTCCAGGCACAACCCCTGTCCATTCACACACCCTGGGCTCTTTTCAGACCCAGGCTGTGCCCCACAACAGCATCACTTTGCCTTAGTCTAAACAGCAGCACAGTCTCACCAAGACAGTCACAGGCTCCCAGGCTGGACCCGCTCATGGGCTCTACCCAAGGTGAACAGGCTCCGGCCATGGTTTGGGAACCTACCGGATGCCAAAGACACAGTGGACGTAGTTCCAGATGGCCCTGCGCAGCATGGACGTGTCCACGCCACAGTGCATGGCAATAGTGTTGTATGTCAGGTTGTAGACGACCTGGAACTTCTCATCCAGGAGCTGTCCCACATCAGGGTAGAGGCGGTTGATCAGTGAGTAGCCGTGGTCCTCCCAGGTGTAATCCTGCCAGAAAAAGGATGCTGGGGTAGGGGCTTAACAGGGAAACGTGGGGTTCCTTCAAAGCCAGGGACACAAGCTGGTGTCTCCCCCTGCCGTGCTGACCCCCACAACTATTAGCCAAACTGTCCACAACCTTGGGAAGAGCCCCACTGTCCCCCCCCCCAGCCAAGACAAGCAGGACCTGCCACCCAGCACCCTGCCACCCCTTCCCCTCCGGCTGGCATGGAACCACGGGCACCCACCTGCGCACGGAAAGTGGGGGGTGCCTGCTCACCCCTCCGTGTGAAGTCCTTGTAGCCAAACTCGGGGTCCTCCACGAAGCAGAGGACGTTGGACTGCAGGGAGTGATACGCAGTATCTACAAGACACCACCACAGCAGCCATGAGCAATGCAGCGTGACCCTGAACAGAGCCAGCCCTGCAGCTGAGGGCCTGATCCTGCTCCTCCCTGGGCAGATCCTGGCTCCCTCCCCCCTCCCCTGTGATGTCCCTGGCCCACAGCCAGCTGCACCCCTGCACCTCCTCACCCGAGGGAGCAACCAGCAAACTCTCTGTCTTCTCCAGCTCAAAGCGCGTTGCCATCTCCTCCTGCGTGACGCCCTCCTCCTCCAGCTGGCTTTCCTGCAGCAGCTTCATCCTCTCCATCAGCACCTCCACCTCCTGCATGGCATCTTTGCCCTGGCAAAGCAGAGAACAGAGTCAACCCTCGCCCAGGTCAAGCAAGGTTGCAGAGGGGTTGCAAGCCCAGAGCAGCACAGAGCTGCTCTCAGCCCTGCTGTCACTTGGAGCAGCCCCAGGGCTTTTCTAAAGAGCATTTGCCTCTGGGTTTATCCTGCCCCCCAGACCCCAGCTGCTCCCATGCCTCATCCCGGGGACTGGGAGAAGGAGGAAGCCCTGTGGAGCATGCTACTGCATGGTCCTAAAGCATCTCCTGTTCCCAATAAAAGGCCTTAGGGCAATTCCCAGGGGAGGCACCATAAACCAGTCCAGCACCTCACCATGCCCTCCCTTCCCACACCACACCCCCACCCCTGCAAGGCAAAGCCCCCCCCTTACCCCAGAGCCCCCCACGCTGTCGTCAGAGGCAGGGCTGCTGTCACTGTGGGGTGAGGGGGGCCGACAGCCATGCCCCCCATCCTGGTCCTCCTCAGGGTTGATGCCACAGCCGAAGACAAAGGAAGCAAGCGAGTGGTAATGGGTGAGGAGCACCAGGGCCTGCACCAGCTCCGCCAGTGACCAGCTGTTCTCCCCTGTCTTCAGCAGGGCCTGCGAGGCATGTGGGGTTGGAGAGACCCCACCCCAGCCCCCTGGCTCACTATGCCATACCACCCACCGCACCCTAGAGCCGAGGTAAACCAAGGGCAGGGAGACAGGAGGGTGTTTGGGATGTGCCTCCCCCATAAGCCAGCCGCTGTCAGCAGGACAGTCCCCAGCCACAGGGGACAAGTCACCCCTTCCCCATCCATCGTGAGCAGCACAGACCCTGCCCTCCAGCTCAGAGACTCCCTCAGCCCTGAAAGGCTTAAAGCTGGGGGGGCTTGTGCAAGCAGGGATGTGGCCCCTGGGATCAAGCCCCCAAAACCAGAGCATGTTTTGGGGGGGGGTCTGTGCCAGCAGCATCAGCTCTCACCTCGATGTGCTCCTTGGTGATGAGCCAGGGCCGATGCGCCAGCAGTTTGTTGATCTCATTGAGGTTCCTGAGTTTTTGGGGGGCACAGTGCAGCCCCTGCAGCCATGCTGGGTTGCCCCCCACCTGCAGGAACTCCCCCATGTGCAAGCCCACCAGGTAGGAGCACTGGTGCCGGGCTGCTGCCTGTGGGAAGAGCTGGGCAGTCAGCCCCTGGCACCAGCCAGGAGCCCCCCACAACCCTGCTACAAGCCCTTGGAGAAGCCAAGGCAGGAAGCCACCTCCCCACATTGCCCTTGGAGGGTTTTCCCTGGGGATGAGGGTCCAGACAGGGGTGTCTGCCCCCCCTCACCATCAATGCCAGTCCCCAGGGGCCCTGGAGGGGAGGGGTGGTGGGGTACCCTGGATGGGCACCACAGGACCAACCCCAAAGGGGGTTCCAAGCCTCTGGGACCACAGATCAGAGGGGGGCCCCATCTGTGGGGTCCCAAAAGCCTTACTGCCTCCAGGCAGAAACCCAGCAGAGGTGCTGGGACCACACATATCCCCAAGGGACTACCATCCTCACCATGATGGCAATGTAGTGGCGCTTGTGGTAGGGTAGGGGCCCGTCCATGCGCAGCAGGAGGTACTGAGTCTTCCAGAAGCTGCTGAGATATTGGGGGTGCAGCCCCATGACCATGGTGATGTTGTCCACTCTGCCCGCCGAGACAAAGGCCTCGATGAGGAGCTGGCGTCGGCTGTTCTCCGCACCTTCCTGCAGGATCTACCAGGACCGAGAGAGGAGGGCAGTGAAGGGCTGTGTGCTGCAGCACCCCACTCTTCCCAACAGCCCCCCTAACCTAGAGGGAGACCTCCCCCCATCAAGCATTGGTGGCCAGCAGGACCCAGACATCCAGGAGCACCCATCCCACCGCATCGGATGCTCACCCCATCAGAGGTGTCCAGCCTCCACCTCGCTGCCTGGTACGGACACCGCCGGCAGCCCCCGCTGCCTGCCTCCCCCCTCCCGGACCCGGGGGGCAGGGGGTGACAGGGGGTGTCCATGCCAGACCCCACACAGCCCAGCCGGCTCAGCCCACGGGTTGGGTTGTTTATTTGGGCACTGGTGTGTGGCAGGGAGGAGATGGGGCTCATTCCCCCCGCCCCCCCCGGTCTCTCCACTCCCACTGTGGTGACGAAACCACGGCGCTATCTCTGCCAAAGAAGAAACCACATCTGGGACACTGATGCTGGGTGCCGAGATAGGGCTGAGGGTGCCCTGGCATGGGGAGCCCCAGGGATTTCAAGGCACAGTTTATGAGGAGGACAGGCAGGGCAGGATGGGGGCTGCCTTTGCAGCACAGGGGAAAGACAGCCACATTTGGATGAGTGGGGAAACTGAGGCACAGGCAGGGCAGGGACTTGGGGCAGGAAAACGCCAGGGTGAAACAACACAATTCCTCCCCGCCATCCTCCAAAACCAGAGACCCCCCCACTGCCACAGGGATACCCCAGGCTGGGTGACCCTTCCCCATCCCACTCCCCCCCCAGCAGGGAGGGATGCACCCACCCAAGACCATCCCCACTGTTCTTACCTCTCCCAGGGGGACGAAGGCACTGGGGCCCTTCCCCAGCTGCCGGGGGACCTTGACCCCTCTGTCCTAGGAGGGAAAAAGCAGCAGCTTTAGCCCAGCACTGGGGCAGCCAGGAGCCACTGAGCGCTCCCGGGACAAGCGGCCGCCGCCAGCGGGACGAGCGCAGTAGCACCGGAAGGGGTGACTCATGTAGCCACCCTGCACGGGCCATAGGGACATGCAGCCATCGCCCCCGCGCCCTTGCGTCAGGCCAGGCAGCGCATGATGAAATCAGGCAGGGGTGTTGCTCTGCACCCCCGGGAGGTGTGACACACTGGGACCGTGCCAGGACACCAGAGCTGAGGCATCGCAGGCCAGTAATGCAAAGGCACCCCTTGCTCCCAGGTCTCTGTTTACCACCTCCATGGGAAAACACAGCAGAAACTGGAGCCATGGGACAGTGATAGGTCCCGGGAGCAGCACGGCTCCGGCCATGGCCCTGGGTGCAGCAGGGCGCTGCAGTTTGCAATCACCAGCATAAATATGGTGCCCGGAGTTCCCACTAACACCACCACCACCACCCCCTCCCCCGCCCCAGCACAAAATGCTGATAAACCTCTCTACCAGTTTTATTTTTTTTCCTCCCCAAATCCGTTAATGCAGTTAAGACAGAAACAAGACACCTGGTTACAGGTTAGCTGCTGCTCTCTGCACTCCAGGCAGAGGGTTCCACTCCTTTCTGACACCCCCATGCTCTACCTCCCCCCGCAGCTCCCCAGGGAAGAGCAAGTGTTTCCATGCTATATTTTCTCCAAGCAGATATTTTCCTCCTCTCTGCTGGCAGGTGGGGGCCAGCTGCACCCAACCAGGGTGCAGACAGCAGCAGCGATGGGGATGCCGCAAGCGGGACCCCCCCCATCCAGAGCACAACGGGACCAGGACCCTTCCAGCCCTCCTGCTCCAGGGGTGCCCATGGGGACCCCCCCAGCCAGCCCTGGAGCCGAAAGACAGGGATGCAGCAGAGCCTGAATCCACCCCCGTCCCAGTTTTGCACCTCAACATCCTACCAGTTTGCAAGTTTGCAGTGGTGCAGGGGAAATTTCTCTGCCTGCATTACAGCAGCACCCACAGGTACCAACCGCAGACAGGGAGGATGCAGCATCCACCCCGAGAGCTTAATTAATCCTCCCAAAACACCTACAGAGAATCCAGAACCTGGTTTGGGGCTGGGAGAAAAGAGGGTGGAAAAGGGTTCAACTGCTCCCAGCCCTGGGAAGCAGGCAAGGGGGAAGTGGGGTAGGTGTGCAGTCCCCTCAAATACAGGGGGAACACAGTGCTTGCTTGGAACCAGGACTGAGACAGGGAAGTGGCAGCAGAAAGGGCATTCAGCAGACAGACACCCACAGCATCACTTCCTCCAACCCACGCTCCGGATACAGGTGCTGATGGCAGCACCCGCTGCCCACCGTGGAGGAGGTGCTCAGGGCCCCCGCTCCAGGTGGGGATGCACCAGCCTCCTCTTCCCGTTCCCTGCAGAAATCCCCCGGGTCCCTCTGCCAGCAGGAGCTGGAGTGGCATCGTGAGGCTGGGACCCATCCCCAAGCGCAGGCTGTGCTCGGTCACCTCCACTGGGACTTTTGAACAGGAGCCCAGCACCAACTGTGCAGGCAGGATGTGAGCCCGGGGCCTGGATCTGCCCGCCCAGGGAGCAGAGAGGGTCTCAGCCCCCCAGGATGCCCACGACCACCCTGCTCCATCCCATGGCACACATCCCCTATGCAAACCCAGTGGGGAGCAGTGGTGCCACAGAGAACCAGAGGCAGCAGCAGATGTGCCCATGGTGTTGGACACGGCAAAGCTCCCGCGGCCCATCCGGAGGGATGCCTTGGCCAGTGGAGACCTGCGCCCTGCTTTGCTCCGGGTACAGGGAGAGACACGGTAGGAAGACAAGCACTGGGCAGGCAACAGCCACCGGTCACCCCCGCTTGCACTGCTGGGGACACAGAGAGAGCCAGGCACCCTGTCCCAGCGGCTGTGGGTGAAGGCAGCGCCAGGCCAGCCAAAACCACAAGGCATGCCTGGCTCCCTGCCAGCCCCCAGGACCCAAAATAAATGGCTCATCCCCAGCAGGGAGAGCAGGGTGCTGCCCGCACACTCTTCACAACTGGAAGTGGGCAGCCTTGCTCCCACAGCACCCAGTTACTGGGTGAACCAGCAAAAGCAGGAGCTGCACTGGGGACCATCTGCAAGGCTGCTGCTCCCACAGAACCCACAGCTCTTGCTGTCCTGGCTGGGTGGGGGGGGGCTCAGCCAGGCTGATGCTCCCCACATCCCATCCGTCACACTGCACCAAGGCAATTCCCAGCAACCCCCTTTCTCCCTTCCCCACATCACCTCCCTTCACCCACCACTGTCGAAGGCTCCCCGGGGTGGGCAGGGCACGGCCACCGCTTGTCCCACAGCTGGGAGAGGCATGGGAAACCCACAGCACCAATGCAGAGAAAAGCAAGCACAGCACTTAGTGGCGTTTTCCAAAACAAAGAAGCCTTCCAAAACCAACAGCACAATCGGACACACACCTTCCAGCCCACTAATGACAGAGAAGCTCAAAGGGCAGCTCTGCCCCCAAACCTGCTCTCCCCCGTTCTCAGCATCCAGCATCACACCCAGCATCATGCTCCCAGCCTCCTGCAACCGTGCAGAAGAGGCTGCAGGCAAAGTGGCAGCGAGGCTCCCGCTGCTGGGATTCACCTGCAGGAGATGGGACATGTCACAGGGGAACAGCGGCAGCAGGAGGAGGGTGCCTGGACACACGCAACCGGGGGTGCCGACGGTAGGAAGGCACATCCTGCTCTCCAGCTGTGGAGCAACAGGGCAGGGAGCTGCTTCTCCCAGGGGTCTTTTCCGTGATGCCCTGTGAAGGGATGAGCCCCGGGGCTGCCACTCGGCTTCACCAGGAGAGATACCCAAGAGCCGGAGCCAGGCACAGCCCAGGTGATGGTGGGTGCCTTCTCCTGCCGGCTGCCTCCAAACCACTCCCGAGGCAGCAGGCGCAGCCTGGCACCCTCTCCTGAGCGGGGAAGGGGTGTGGGATGGCACGAGGTGACCACACAGCAGCTGTCAGCACGGCCACACGCTCCCCACGTGTCAGGCAGTGGGTCACAGCACACCATGGGCTCTTGCCAGCACCAGGCTGCAGCCACCCCAGCAAAGCAAGCACCTGCATGCTCTGACAACTCTGAGTGTGCGGGATGCTCCTGTCCCAAGTCATCATGGAAGTGAGACTGGGGTGACAACAGGAGCAGGTTCGTGCCATCACTGCTTTGGGTGCTGAGCTGGCTCTGCACTGACTCATGGTTTGGGGAGAAAGAGCTTCTTTGGTGCTCCAAGAGGCTCCCCACGAGGGGATGGCAATGGAGAGACCCCAGCAGGCAAATCCACGGGACACACACAGAAGGAATTCTGACCCCGAAGGCAGCAAAGCGCCGGGGCTCTCAGCCAAGAAAAAACCCGAAGGCAGCAAGGAGCCGGGGAGCTCAGCCCAGCCCATCCCACCACTTTTCGGTGACAGCTCAGGGTGACTTTTGAAGGTGCATTTTAATCATTCCTATACAGAGGCTTGTTATGTTTTGCTGCATTAAGCAATCCTCAGGGGTGCTGCAGTTAACCCTCACTGTGCCACCTCTGGGTAGCGCCTCACCTCCTGTTTCCGCTGATGGGGAAACTGAGGCACAGAGGCAATATGCCAACCTGCACCAGCCATGCAACCCGCTCCCAGGCTCCAGCCAGCACACAGCAGGCAGAGGTGTCAGAGACATGGGGGGAAGGAGTTAATTCCCCCAGAGCGGGAAGCCCCCCTCCACCCCCTGCACTGGTGCCAGTGCTTAGTCAGGTGTTGGAAAATCATTCCCGATAAGGCGAGGTTAAACAAACACTACTGCAGCTGCCCGGCAGAGTGGGTTTGCCCCTCGTAACTGTGCCCCTGCCAAAACCCAGGCAGGAGGCTGTGCCTGGGCCATACCGGGGGGCGAGAGAAACGCCAGGGCTCGGCCCTGCTGACACGCGGAGCCAACACACAGGCACAACCCCCTTGGCACAAGCTGCCCCCAGCCCCACCTGC